CCACAGCGGGCGGGGACCTGCCTCGGGGGGCGCCCCTGGTCCCCTGGCCGGAGCTCTCTGTGCAGCTCCGGGTCGGGCCTGCGGCCTCAGCTCCGGGGTCTCCCCGAGGTCTGTGCGCTCTCCTCTCCGAAAGGCCTGGGACATGTGTGATCAGGTGTCTTTTCCCCGGTCAGCAGGGCCCCCTGGCCACTATCCTCAGGGAGGTCCCGTCAGGAAACCCAGAGGGCCCACTCCGATGCTCCGGGGTGCCTGTGCGTGCACAGGTGTATGTGTGTACACACACGGACACACATACGTGCACACATGTATGTTTGTGCACCCACACACATGTGTGGACATATATGTGTACACATGTACATGTGTGTGCGCGTGCACGATAGAGAGCAGGGCCAGCTCTGGGGGCATGGCCTGCGGGAGGCGGTGAGGGCGGAGGGGTCCTCCCAAGCCTGGGAGCCCTGGGCCTGGCTCGTCCCCAGGAGACAAGGAGATTTCGGTGGTGAGCACAGACTACGAGACCTACGCCATCCTGGACGTGCAGCTCCACCGCGGAGCAGCCAGCATCCGGGTCCTGAAGCTCTATAGTAAGCCTGCTGGACGGACGGGGCAGTCTGCTACTTCGTGGGGACCCCGCTCTGACGGGCAGAGGGCGCCGGGAGCTGGATGGGGCAGGGGGCGGAGACAGCGGGGGCTCCGGCCCATGTGGAACCCTGTCCTTCACAGGCCGGGCCCTGGAGCAGGACAAGGAAGTCCTGGACAAGTTCCACCTGGTGGCCAAGGACTATGGGCTCTCCCCGAAGGACGTGCACCTGAACGCCTGGGACAGTGAGTGCTGGGGCCCGGCCAGGCCTCCGGGGCCGGCGCCTCCCTAGCCCTGCCCGCCTCACTCTCCCTCTTGTCCACAGTGACCTGCGCCAACCTGCTGCGGCCGGTGAGCTCCTGCCCCTGCTCCCGCCTGGGCTGGGTCCCCCCGCCCCCCTCCATCTCTCCTTCCCTCTGCACATGGAAGGAGGGGAGGGGTCTGGGGGCCGAGGGTGGTGGGTTCTCTCTGTGGCAGAGCCAAGGTTGGGGGGCAGGCCTAGCCCCGAGGGCTGCCTGAGGGGCAAGGCCTTTAACGGTGCCCTCTGGCCAGTGGGTGGGGTCTGGGCACGTCCGTGTCCCTCACACGCCCCGTCCACAGGGAGGTGTGCCAAGCGCCTGAAGAAGGTGAGCATTCGCCGGCCGCTCTGCCCGCCGAGGCCCCGCCCGACAGGACCCGCTCGCTAGCCCCGGCCTCCAGGGGGGTGACACGCAGTGCCAGGCGGGGAGGGAGGCCGGTGCAGGGCCGGCTGGCTGGGGGCTGGGCCGGGTCCCCCTTCCATGCAGCAGGCAGCCAGGGGCCGCTGGACACTGACGTCCAGCCTGGAGGGGCCCTGTGGGCACCGTCTCAGGCCCCCATGTCCCACACACGCCCACCACCACCTGTGGGCCCCTCGGTCTCATCACGGCCCAGAGTGGGGGCTGCCAGCGGCTCTGCAGGCAAGAGGAACGGCTGCTCTTGGGTCAATGCCACCTGGCAGCTGGACGCCCAGCCCGGCTGGTGGTCCTGACTGCTGCCCGGGGCCCTGGGAGCTGGCCGCCCTGAGCCCCGTCCTTCTGTGTCGCAGGAGCTGATCTAGGAGCCTGTCCCCAGGCCGGCCTCTGACGTCCAGCCTGGAGGGGCCCTGTGGGCACTGTCTCAGGCCCCCATGTCCCACACATGCCCACCACCACCTGTGGGCCCCTCAGCCTCATCACAGCCCAGAGGGGGGGCTGCCAGCGGCTCTGCAGGCAGAGGAACGGTGGGCTCTGCTTGACCACCTGGCAGCTGGACGCCCAGCCCCATGTGCTGTCCTGCCCACTGCCCAGGCCCTGGGAGCCGGCAGCCCTGAGCCCCGTCCTTCTGTGTCGCAGGAGCTGATCTAGGAGCCTGTCCCCAGGCCGGCCGCTGGGAGCCCACCCGCCTCTGCCCCTGCCCCGTCTGCCCTGAGTCTCTCCTGGGCCGCGGGGCGACAGGTGGGGTGGGGTGGGGTGTGCCCCCGTGACTGCCCCAAGACGACACCGTCGCTGCCCAGGTGACCCGTGTGGGACGCCGCCCAGCTGGACCGCAGCCGGAAGGGCTGAGTCGGGCACGTGGCTCAGGGGGATGGCAGTCCATCGACGATTGGGATGGGATGGAAGAGGTGTGGAGTAAGAATTCATTAATACTTTAAAAATGTCTCCTTCGTATGGGGGCCTTGGGTAAGACAGCTGAACCAGCCCTGGCGCTCGGACCCGGGTCAGGCTGCCGCGGCCCCTCCCTGCGCATCTCCTCCTGCTCCCTGAGCGGAAGCCTCCCCTGAGGCCTTCCCTCCGGAGTCCCAGGGGCTGGGTGAGCGGGGCAGAGGCCGAGGACAGATGTGGGGACCGGCTGCCTCCTGCACCCCCTGAGGCCGGAGGCGGGGAGGGGCAGCAGGCAAACCCACAGTGGGTGTCGGGCGGGGCCGTGGGGGCAGCTGGCCCCCCTCCATCCACAACCAGGTCCGAGGGTCCTGGCCTGGCCCTGGCCTCTGCCCGGAGGAAAGTGTGTGCCCGGAGGCCGGCGGGTCAGACCGCCTGCTGCACCCGTGACATCCAAGCTCTCAGCCCCTCAGAGCTGAGACCCGAGTCCCTTGTGCATTTTAAAATCTGTATCTTTATTGATTTCAGAGCGGAAGGGAGAGGGAGGGTGAGAGAAACATCAGTGATGAGAGAGAACCATGGACCGGCTGCCTCCTGCACGCCCCACACTGGGGACCGATCCCCAAACCCGGGCCTGTGCCCCGACCGGGAGTCGAACTGTGACCTCCTGGGTCACAGGTGGACGCTCAGCCACTGAGCCACGCCAGACAGGCCACTTCTGCATTTTTATTCAGCTCTTCCCCCCTCATCCCCGTCTCTCTGTCCCCTCACGAGTTAGACACTGTCTGCCATGCCATGGGCTGGACCCCCTCCCTGCCCATCTCCCGGCTGCTGGGTGGGGGCGGGGGTGGAGGGCGATGACCGCCGCTGGGACCACACAGCTGCCCACCTCCTGGGCGACCGCGGGCCGCTTCACGCTCTCTGCACCGCTCTCCCCCTCCCGGCCTGGGGCAGCTCTGCGGTTAAAGAGCCAGGAGGTCCGGAGGTGGGTGCCGCTGGCTCCCGGCTGGGTGGGCAGGAAGCTGCCAATTTGCCATTTGGCGTTGGTTGTGGGGTCTTCAAAGGCTCCCGTGGGCCGGCCAGCAGAGCCGAGGGGTCAGGACATCGGCCCACGCCTCGCGACCCGCAGCGCCAGCGGGCCGTGCAGTCCGCACCGCGTGGGCACCGTGTCCTCCGTCATGCCCTGCTGACCGCAGCCCGTGCCTGCCCCGGTGGCAGGCCTCGGGCACATGCGCCCAGTTCCTGGGCAGGTC